GCGATATCGACGCGTTCCCCGCAATTATATCCGTCTGAATGGCGGCCGTGTGCTCGCCATCAGGCGTAGGCGGAGCCAACCGATTTTAAACAACTGGCTGTACGCATTAATTAAAGCCAGGAGTCTGTGTACTCCCTTGACTCCATACAAGGTGGCCGGTCTTAATTTGGCATTGGCGAAATAGTAACGCCGGTACTGCTTAACACCAGCCCATTGTCCTGTCCACCTTAACGCAGCCAGGATCCAATAATTAATTAACTGTATTTCATCGAACGCTTCCATTTACCGCGTATATCAACCACGATATACATCCATCCAACGTGGAATTATTATCGCGTAAATCGTGGAACGCGTGCTTCCTTTTAAGCGTCTCTGCTCGAAATCGAAATGCTTATTATAAGAGGACTCTTGGGTTCATTTCTTATTAAGGGTTGGTAAACGGTGGTTTCTGATTTATCGACTCATTTCGTGACCGCGATTGCCGTTACTTCGCCGATTGCTTATTTACGAGATTTTATCGAGATTTTGCGTGAGTAGCTATCTTGGTGTCAGTGAGATTCTTCGATACGAATCAAGAATGTTCCTTTTTGGAAAAGTTAATAGTTCAGGTTGGAAGTTTCGATCAATCTTAAACAATCTTGTTTCGACTCGATATTCCCCTTTACCTAACCTCAACTAATAAAAGAAAAAAAGAATACTTTCATCTCTCGAACGACTCAATCAACCGCGAACTCTTCAAGAATTCCACCAACTGAAATCAACCGAAAGGATCTCAAACGAAACATAACCTCTTACGTAAGCTCCCTGTTCTCCCTCCACTATTCATTCCACGATACCAGTCCGATAATTCCATCCGATTAAGATGCACCTTGTCGAGACGTGCTCGCGCAATTCACGTAATTCGCGCAATTAACCCCTTAGAGCCGCATTCCCGCCCGTTCCTCGGCATCCGGCCCCCTCGTTCGTTCATCGAGGTTTCGCTGTGAAAACGGGTTCATTCATGAACCACGACTGTGGTTCGGCAAAAAGCTCCATCTTCCCTCTTTTCCCCGCTCATCCTCCTCACAGTCCCACCTCTTGTTCGTCGCTTTGCTCGTCTCGTCGAGTTGAGAGAGAAAGAGAGAGAAGGGTGCACGTAGAAAACTGGTATCGGCACAATGCCATCGGAATACGCTATCTCAGCCGCTATTTCAGCTCGAGAGGAGCGGGTAGAGCAAGAAACAGACGCCACCGGAAATCATCATTCTAACCGGGTACGTTTAATCGAAGGGAAAACCGGAATACGCCGCGGGCTGACTGACAACAGGATCAACCTGCTCTGTGGACGTATCGAAGCCAGGATTCCATTCCGGCTCGATTTTTCTACACCGACACGGCGACCAAGTATCCCCACTCCTCCACGACCGACTCTTTTCTTCTACCACTGATTAATTACACGTATTGTTAGACGAGCGTTCTTCTTCTCGATCGTGTAAATGTGGCGCCGTTCTAGTCGAATGGGAAACGATTTCTTTTTTCTTTTAATATTCTCTCTCTTTCTTTTCTCCATTTGATGAATTTTGGATTAATCAATTATTATTAATGGAACAGTTTGATAATTGTACTTAACGCATATAGAGTATAGAGATTTCTATTTATTTTTTAAATAAATATTTTATAAATTTTATTTTATTTACATTTTTCTGCTGTTGCTCTCTTTATAATTGGATAGAATATAATTGTATTAGAGATATCTATGTCTAATCACGTAAGTGTGAAGTATTTCGAACGTTATGATATAAGAAATGTTGGTAACACTGATCTGTATCAGTCCTATTTGCGCTACGAACGTCAGAGTGCATTGCAAAGTCCATATCCCTAAGTTTCGAGGATACAACACGAGGATATTGTGGCCGGCACGTACACCAGCTGGTCCAACTTCTTGTCCAGCGTCGACAGCTGCAACGAAAACGAAAAATCGGAATTGGAATCAGTGAGAGCAAGAACCCCCGACTTCTGGAGGGGATATGTCCGTGGATCATTCGAAGAGGAAGAGTGCAAGAGAGAAAGAGAGAGAAAGAGAGAGAAAGAAATACAAGACGATGGAACCGGATACAACGAAACGCTTTTGACACGAGATGCTCTGTATATCATCCATTCTCGAATGTTTCTTGTCAAAAAAAGATTTTACGAATGTTTCAAAGAAGGATTCTAAAGAAAAATGTTAATTATAAATTCATTGGTTATCATTGATTAAAATCTTACAGACAAATTTCATGCCTCGTATTTTTCTATCATAATTTTATTGTTTTCTAATATGGATTAATTAAAATGTCATTTAAGAGTATGTGAGAAAATTTTCAACAGATGATATAATAATTTAATATATTTGTAACATTTTTTCATGTATTGATTTTCTTTTCTTCTTTATTACGAAGATTTTATTAAACATTTTAAATCATTTTATAATTAGTTATAAAATTCGAATTATAAAAATGATGTGTAAAGTGTAATTATAATATATAAAAATTAGATTGAATAGATCCTATTAAGTTTTTTAATTAACAGATTAAATAAAAAAGATAATAAGATTAATCGGATTTCGCGGATGCTCTTAAACGCATAAATTTTATTGAGCGAGAAAAGGAGAGTGAATAGTCAGAGAAGAGTAAAAATTGGGGAATCAACGCCATCTCTAGAGTGCCGCAAATGAAACTCGTAAAGAAAGGACAGAAAATAAAGAAAAAAGGATAGGGATAGAATAAGAATTGATTGCTAGTGCCATCTATCGCGATTCAAAGAAACTTCTTAGAAGTGATATTTACTATAATATCCAAGAGATGTCGCTGAATGTTCATTCCAATTCTACTTTATCTTGTTGTCAAAGAAGTGTCTTCGATGCTCAAAAGATGGCGGTGGTGGACTATTCTTACATTTTAACCCTTA